ATGCACACACTTACAGACACACATCTTGCATCCCTTATGCATACAAACACAGATTCACACAATGCATCCCTTACACACAACCAGAAACACATAATACATCCCTTATACACAAACACACACTGCTTCCACTACACACAAACACACTGCATCACCTGCACAAACTGGTAACCCTAAACACTACATACCATAAGCACACACATATTAGATCCTCTACAATAACACATAACACATCCCCTACACACTCCACTCCCTGTGAGCGAACTCATGGGTGGGTGGAACTTATGAGTGGGCCTTATGGGCATACTCACCGTCAGGCCCTGGGGCCCAGAACTTGAGCTGTGTAAGGGGCCCCAAAAAATGGAGCTGCTTCCAATTTTCCCAGAACATTGAATTTTGTGACCACAGTTGCAAACAGCCTCCAGAGATCCTGTTCTACACCAGACCAGTGGAGCCAAACTGCAGCCCATCATCATCCTCATCTGCTTGTAAGTAGGCAATCTAGTATATTATTAGTGACACTAATCTATAATGTACCTCACATTAAAGGGACACTATAGTTTAATGAAGTGGTTCTGGTGTCTATAGCTGGTCCCTGCAGGCTTTTTAATGTAAACACACACTGTGTGCAGCACTGACGTTAGTTCATATGGCAGATCATATGGGTGGGGCATTGTGATGTGACATGTGGGGGCAGCAAATTTTTATTTTGTCTAGGGCGGCAAAAATCCTTGCACCGGCTCTGATCCTGGCAGGTGCACCAGTCTACTGGTGACCCACAGGAGGGGAGTGCACTGATTGCACTGCACTCTCCTCCTGCCCAGCCCCATATTTACCGCAGTGCAAGTGCCCTCTGCCCCTAATTTACAGTGGCTCACACTCACAACAAGCAGTGCCTGGAGCCGTGAAGGAGCGGGTATGGCAAAGAACTACTGATTAGCATAACATCAATATCCGTTATAAAACCAGGAAAAGGTGGGCATGGATGGTGAACTGATTTGGTGGTGCAATGGGCCACTTGACTGGTTTTGCCCCCACAGGCCTAAGGCTGCCAGCCCTCCCCTGGCCGCTGGGGAGGTCTTTTGGCGGCCGCTGGCGGACTTGTCCTGGCGGCCGCTGGGGGAGCTGCGCTGGTTTCAGTTTCCTCTCAGCATCGCATGACAGGAATCGGCCGGAATATGACGCCATATTCAGGCTACCGGGTTTCATTCAGCAGCGCCGCTGGTGCTGGAGGACACTTCAACACAGGAAGCACCTCTAGTGACCTGCCTGAGTGACTGTCACCAGCAGTGTCACTTTGAAGTTAGGTCGTAAACACCTCGCCTCGCCCGGAAAAGTCAGTGTTTACGTTGAAAAGCCTGTAGGGACATGCTATAGACACCAGTACCACCACATTAAGCTGTGTGTGTGCGTCTGCTAGTGAGTGAGCTTGCTTGCATGCATGTGCCTGCTAGTGAGTGAGCTTATGTTTTTATGTCAATGAGGCTGTGTATCAATGAGCTTGTGTGTGTCACTGAAATGTCAGTGAAATTGCCTGTGTCTGCATGTGCGTATGCTTACTGTATAATTAAAAGTTTTACCCTGAAAGGACCAATATTTTATATTAGAAAAAGCAATATATATATATATATATATATATATATATATATATATTACTCAATCATCTGTCCTGGCAAGACATAGCCTTACATATTACACGCGACAATATATGGCGCAGTGACTTATGGGGCTGGCACAAATTTTTTTTCCAGGGCTGCTTTGTATGCCCAGTCCGGCCCTGGTGTGTTGTCTATAACAATTCCCAAGTCCTTTTCATGTGTTGTTATCCCTAATTCGCTTCCATTAAGGGTATACGTTGCTAGTGTATTCTTTACGCCGAAGTGCATAACTTTGCATTTTTCAACATTAAATTTCATCTGCCATTTGAGTGCCCAGTCCCCCAGTCTATCTAAAAATCCCTCTGCAGCAAACTAATATCTTGCTCACATTGTATTGTTTTACAAAGTTTGGTGTCATCTGCAACACTGAAACATGACTTTCAATGCGGTCTTCAAGATCATTTATAAACATGTTAAATAGAAGGGGTCCCAAAACAGACCCCTGAGGGACACCACTTGCCACCTCTGTCCAGCTTGAAAATTTACCATTAATGACAACTTTTTGTACTCTGTTTTTAAGCCAATGTTCTACCCAAGAACAAGCATTTTCATCTAGACCGATTTCCTTGAGTTTGAACACTAATCTATTGTGTGGAACTGTATCAAATGCCTTGGTAAAATCCAAATAGATCACATCCACTGCAACACCCTGATCTATACTTCTACTTACTTCTTCGTGAGAACGCGAATCAAGTTAGTTTTGATGCATGACCTGTGTGCTTTCCAGCAAAAAACCATGCTGATTTTTAAGGATAACCATGTTCTCTCAAGGAATTTTGTGTTATTTTCATCCTTAATAACCTTTCAAATATTTTAACAGCCACAGAAGTTAAGCTCACAGGTCTATAATTTCCAGGCAAGGATTTTGAACCCTTTTTGAATATAGGAACCACATCTGCCTTCCTCCAATCCTCCAGAACACTTCCTGAAAGAAAGGAATCTTGAAAGATTAAAAACAGAGGTTCACTTATTTCTGCACTTAGTTCCTTAAGTACACGTGGATGGATACCGTCAGGCCCTGGAGCTTTGTTTATATTAACTTTTTTTAGTTGCTGCAGCACCTTGTCTTGAGTTAACCAATTACAATTATTCTGCAAGTTTTTAGTAGCAATCATTTGCACATCTATTGCCATGGGTTCTTCCTTAATATATACAGAGGAGAAATAGTTATTTAAAATTCCTGCCTTTTCCTGGTCTTTATTAATTAACACCCCCGTTTCAGTTTTTAGTGTACCTACACTTTCATTTTGTTTTTTTTTAGAATTTATGTACTTAAAAAATGTTTTGGGGTTGGTTTTGCTCTCTTCAGCTATCATTATTTCATTTTGAAGTTTAGCAAGTCTAATTGCCTTTTTGCACGCATTATTTGTATCCTTATATCTTTTATAAGATGCATCTGATTTGTCCGATTTAAATGCTTTAAATGCCCTTTTCTTAGTTGTAATCTCTTGTTTTACTTCTCTACTAAGCCACATTGGTTTTAATTTGTTTCTATATTTATTTCAACGTACATACTGAGAAATGTGTACCTTTTTGGGTCATTTGTTGAAGTATAACTTCCATTTATCCTTCGCAAGTTTTCTACTAAAGAGTTTATGCTACAGTCAATAGCATGTAAAGCTTCCCTTAATCTTATTAGAAATTGACCTTTTAAAATTATATGTTTTGCATACCCTGTTGTGTTGTTTTTGAGTTTAGTTTCAAAGGACACTCACATTGTGTGGACTACTATTTCCCAAGTGCTCACCTACTTGAATGTTGGTCAAAAGATCAACATTGTTTGTTAAAACCAGGTCCAGACAAGCATCCATTCTAGTTGGTGCTTGTACAAGTTGTGACATGAAGGTGTCATTTAACAAGTTTAAAAACCTAATTCCCTTTGCTGAGGCACTAGTCCCTCTGTCCCAATTTATATCCGGGTAATTAAAATTTCCAATAATTAAAGTGTTACCCAGATTTACAGCTTTCACAATTTGCTCAAACAGCTGTTGTTCCTCGTCAATATTAACATTAGGTGGTTTATAACATATCCCAACCAATAGTTGGTTTCCCTTCTTTTCCCCCAAGCAGATATTTACCCATAAAGCTTCCACATTATCCTCCTCGCATTCCATTTGCTTAACATTTGGTTTTAAATCATGTTTGACATACAAACATACCCCACCACCCTTCTTGTTTTTCCTATCCTTCCTAAATAACATGTACCCATTTACGTTAGCTGCCCAGTCATGTGTCTCATCCCACCATGCTTCAGTTATGCCTATTATATCATATTGTTTAGTGTATGCTAATGCCTCTAGTTCCCCCATTTTGTTATTTAGGTTCCTTGCATTAGTAAGCATACATTTAATATTATGCGTCACTTGTATATTTTGTGAATTTTCAACATTACACAGCGTCTCTGTTCTGAGTTTGCCCCTCCCCCCGTTTCCACCCCCCTTATACTGTGCTAAAGCCCATCTCCTTTCTGTCCTATCTCCATTTTGTAGATTGCTATGACCCTCCCCCCCTACTACTAGTTTAAAATCTCCTCCAACCTTCTAGCCATCCTATTCCCCAGCACTGCAGACCCTCTCCCGTTTAGGTGCAATCCATCACCACTATAAAGGTTGTACCCAATCGCAAAGTCGGCCCAGTGCTCTAAAAACCCCAAACCCTCCTTCCTGCACCAAGACTTAAGCCACACATTGATCTCTCTAATCTTCCGCTGCCTTTCCACTGTAGCGCGTGGCACAGGTAATATCTCAGAGAATACCACCTTGGAGGTCCTTTTCTTAAGTTTGCTACCTAATTCCCTGAAATCATTCTTTAAGACCTTCCATCTTCCTCTTACTTTGTCATTGGTACCAACATGGACCATGACCGCTGGGTCATCCCCAGCCCCTCCCAATAATCCATCCACTCTATCAGCAACATGCCGGACCCGAGCACCCGGGAGACAGCAAACTGTCCGGTTGAGCCGATCAGAGCGGCAGATTGCCCTATCTGCTCTCCTAATGATGGAGTCCCCTACCACCACAACCTGCCTTGCCTTCCTTACATTTTGATCCCCACCCGTACTAGGGGAGCTGTTAGCTTGGCTGTTAGAAGTAACAGCTTCCTCTAATACAGCTACTCCTGAGCTGATGCTCCCAACATCTTCCCTCAAATGGGCAAATCTGCTAGGTTGCACCAAATCAGGACTAGCTAGCCCTTTCCTCTTCCCTCCCCCCCTGCTTCCTCGCCCCACTGTCACCCAGCTACATGCCTGTTCCCCATCTGTCTCATCTCCTCCCTCTCCACTACCTGTCCCCACTAAACTCTGCTCAGTGAGCAGTAGACTCCTCTCAAGATTGTCAATCTCCCTCAATGTTGCGATTTGCTTCTCGAGATCTCCAATCTGAGCTTCCAGAGAAGCCACTTGCACACAACCATCACAGAGGTATGGATCCATACATGCAACAAGATGTGCATTGAGTCAAACCAGCAATCTTGCTAACACTCATTTCCCCAGATACAGAACAATAAAACAATTACCTTGATAGTTTAAACCCCTTGTTTGTTTCAACTCCTGGTTTTCTAACTCCTACTTGAAAGAGTCTACTTAACAGAGGCTGCTTTCAAATAATGTGAGCAAGCTCATTGAGTTAGGGGTGTGCCTTTATGGGGATACAAATCCTACACAGGTGCAATTAATGAACACTCCCCCAATCAATCAAGCAGCAGCACACAAAAAAAGGGGGGGAAACCAGAACACAGAAAAAAAAAATTTTTTGTTTTTAAAACCTTACCAATTTTAAAGATTAAACAAAAATAAAATACAAACCACTCTCCACAGTATACAAACCACTCTCCACAGTATACAAACCACTCTC